ATGTGCTATTGTCGTTTAATACCTTTAAAGCAAAATTTGGGGCTATAATATTTTTTTTTTGCCCTCCAGCAAAAACCTATGTTAATGCTGGATTATGATTGTAAACATTAAAGGAAATATGACATAAAAATGTTTTTTGGTATAAAAAGTGCTCACAGTAACGAAATGTTTTTCAGAGAATGATTGGGTTTTCAATTATTTTTTTATTTACATGTTAAAGAACGTTATTTGCTTGTTAATATACACATCCCTACTAATATTATAAATGCGAAAGTAACTCTGTCTGTCTGTCTGTCTGTCTGTCTGTCTGCTACGCTTTCACGCCTAAACCACTGAACTGATTTTAATGAAATTCGGTACAGAGATAGAGTTGACCTTGAGAGAGAACATAGGATAGTTTTTATCCCAGACTTTTGAAAGGTTCTCTTGGAAACGCGATATAACCGAACTCCACGCGGCGAAGCTGCGGGCGGAAAGCTAGTATCTAATATAAACATATTGACTGAAGAATTTCTCAAATATTGGAACATAAAATTTAAGCAAATATAAGAAACGTTCAAAATAATAATAAAAGTTATAAAAAAGCCATGTAAAGTTATAAAAAAACAGTTTTAATGGCATGGCATAAATTACTTAGTAATTGTTTACTATTACAATTTATAATAGTAGGTAACTAATGTAAATAAAAATAAATATCCATTCAAAAACCTATTGACTACTTGACTGTTATGATGTGATGGGAACAAATAAATATATACTGTTTTACAATTAGGCCTGTTTGGATTAGAGACTGCCAGTATGAAATCAAATATACATGGTTAAAACGCTCTTACCTGTAGATTGTTTTTATACATGAATTATTCCCTTTAATTTCTAAGTAAAACACCCATTATATGAAAGTGGAATGCGTAGTTGAATAAAATAATATAGTTTGCCATGAGTTGTAAACTGGACTTGTTAGTGGAAAAATAGTTGATATATTGATTGTTATACGTGCACTTTGAACTAAATAATTTATTACAGACTACCTCTCATGTCCTTTGTTAGTAGAGCTGTAGTGGACGTTATCTCACATAAGAAAACTTTCCTACAGTTCCAGAGACACTTGTTCGAACACGTTTCTATGTAGCGATGAAGTAGAAATCTTGTTCGCTAACTTGATTAAAATCTTTTATAGTATATGTTAATGTCTAAACTTTGTTAACAAGCTACAACTGTAAGCTTTTAACTTCATTCTGTAATATTTTTATGCTTCGACTTAATTACAGAGTGCTACTTAGTTACAGTATCACAAAGAAGTTTTGAAAGAAATGTCGCATATTTTTTTCCCATGAATAATGATTTTTAAATAATATAAGCTTCATGAGATCAACTCGAACCAATTGATTGCATTTTATTTATGTCTCATTAATTCATTAGTGATATATTATTACATTATAAAAGAGCAACTTTTCTAGCAGTTTTTTTTTTATCAAAGGATACTTTAATTTTACAAATAATACCAGGCCATTAGAAAAATATACTTATTATTTAAAGTCGTATTTTTATAATATGTAATTCTGTTTGTTATTTGAGACTGAGCAAAAAAAATTGACTTTTACTGTTTTAAATAGAACTGAATTAAATTCAGATATTATACAATTTTTATTTATTTTCATACTAAAGTTTATAATATATCTATGTAGTATACAGTCTACTGTAAAATTCATATATTGCAGGAAGCTTCCACTAACACACAATTTATTTCTATTTAAAAGGCGCAATATTTTAGTTTCATATAGAAAGCATTAGTCTCCAACATACTGAAGGAACTTAGAATTTAGATCCTTTGTTTATTAAGCACTACAACTGGTACAACAACTTCAAAACACAAATATTCTGAAACCTTAGTCCATTTCATGTAGGAGTTGTGAGTCAAAATTACTCTTCTTCCAAATAGATTCTTAAACAGACCTTACTGATTTCTAAATAGCCATTACACTTAGACTTTTTTTGTGTCGCTGCTTATATTTAATTGGAAACTTGAGTACAACTTTCTTATAAAACTACGATATTTTAGTTAACATTGATATTGTTTTGAAAAATCCTTGTTTTTTTTTTGTGGTGAAACATTAAATGATGAAACAATAAAAAAATGTCGTACAATAATTTATGTTTCACATGACAATATTATTCTATGTATATACATAAATATGTATTAATATTATTGTTTATTAAAAAAAGTGGGAAAGTACAAAAAATATGCAGGTAGTCAAGACAAGAAAGCTTTCGAAAGATCTCGAAAATAGTTGTCATGCCATTCTCGACGTATTTACTTTTCTTTGTATGTAATAGAAGCTATAAAATTCAGCTGGTAGTTGATATCTAGCTAATATAACAGCTGTAAGAGGTTTTTAAAATATATAAATATACATACATATGTAATAAGCGTATTTAAAAACAGAGCGCCCAAATGTTAATCTTGTGTAATAAAGTTCATAGCATATTTCTTATAATAAGTAAATTAATAATGTTCTGTTTTTTTTTAATATACCTACCAGTTTTTTGTTTATTTGCATAATTATCAGGATATATATTTATTTAACTCATGATAATTAAAAAGTCAATTATGTTTCATATGACAATATTATTCTATGTATACATAAATATGTATTAATATTATTGTTTATTAAAAAAAGTGGGAAAGTAGAAAAAATATGCAGGTAGTCAAGACAAGAAAGCTTTCGAAAGATCTCGAAAATAGTTGTCATGCCATTCTCGACGTATTTACTTTTCTTTGTATGTAATAGAAGCTATAAAATTCAGCTGGTAGTTGATATCTAGCTAATATAACAGCTGTAAGAGGTTTTTAAAATATATAAATATACATACATATGTAATAAGCGTATTTAAAAACAGAGCGCCCAAATGTTAATCTTGTGTAATAAAGTTCATAGCATATTTCTTATAATAAGTAAATTAATAATGTTCTGTTTTTTTTAATATACCTACCAGTTTTTTGTTTATTTGCATAATTATCAGGATATATATTTATTTAACTCATGATAATTAAAAAGTCAATTATAGTTTATTAATTCTTCCTTTATAAGCCCTGAATTTGGTTCAATTTTGTTATTTTTTAGATTTACAAAATAATATTAATATAATATTTAATTGTGCAGAAAACTTTTACGACATTTTTGTTAATTAATTTTATTTTATTACAAAGGGTGACAACTCATATAACATTACATTATATTTAACAAGTGAATTATGTTCTATGAAAAGCGAGATCGCTGAACCTATTATTTGCTTTGTGTGCACTTGTAAAGTTAAGGTGAACCATATGTCTGCACTGCGGTATTGAGCATCCGTTTTTTCACATGGGGACTAGAGGAGGATTAGTAGGATCCGGTATCGTTTCCTGATAACCTGAGACAGGTTATTTAAGAATATTTATAATCACCAAACAAAAGTTTTCTATTATGATGAAAATAACTAAAGTACTTATTAGTATAAGATTTGAATGGTATATACGAGATAATTGAATTCATGGGACATAAAATTCAATATTCACAAAATATCGTTATAATATGAAGAAATTTTGAATAGTAATCTTAATTATTAGTCAACTTTAGTATTACATAAATAATTTATATTTTGTATGTCATCTATTACGGGACATACATATTATAATTACCACGAGGTCAAAAATAATACTGTTGTCCATTTTATCAATTCTTGTTTTATTATACTAATTACTATAAAAATATAGATATTAAATAATTTATGCAAATTAGAAATAACGAGGGAAATATGTCGCCGAGATCTGGTGACTTGGTCTTCTCTGTTATGTTCCGATAATGTAAATCCCTTAAAGGTATTGTCAATCTTCTGGCTTTAGAGATTATTGATTTCAAAGCCGTAAACTATAGTATTATATAAATATATTTAACATAAACATTATATTTTGTATTCAAAAATTAATGAAGTCAGATGAGTACATGATTACGTATAAGAAGTATGGTGTAGCAATAAATAAAAAAAAGGAATTAATAGTGAATAACAATGTTTAGGAAGGTTACAATTATATACACAGATGTCTATACGTAATAATGAGATTATAATTTCGTGATTGGGATGAAAAATAAATTCGGTAGTCGGTTTAAGTCTCCCGAACTATAACATAATTTGCTTACAATTGCGTGGGTATAACATATCTAAACATTTACATAAATTATGGTTCAGATGCTGATGACACAAAAAAGCTCTTTTCAACATTTAAAACTATAAAATATTTGTTTTTCTATTAATAATACATATATATAATTAAATCAGAAATGTGTCAACTTATTTGTTTTTAACAAATTTAATTTTTTGAACAATACCCTGCTTCTCTCTTCCTATTCAATGTCATTATTCAATTTTGCATCAATTATTGCTTACAATCGTCAGTAGAACCTGTTATTGTTGTAATTTTCTCGTGGGTCAGTGAACTTACTTTACTTTCAAATAGTAAATCTAAGGTAAGTTACCCAAATAAGACCTATCTTAATTTTTTTTATTATCTAACTAGCGGGTTTATAATAACAATGCACTGGTAATTTGAAATAAGTTTATTTATTTATTAAACTTTGTAATAAATCAAACCAAATTACTTTAGGAACAAAAATCACACTTTTGTAAACACAAATAACTAAAATGTCACTTTGGCCTTATTGGGAACCCTCTGTCTTAATAAAGCCTAAATAATAACAAGTAAACATTCATCTTCTTAATGAATACAAAACATTATCAATACTTATATTAAATCTCATTAATTACTTTGATAATTTTGGATAAGATTTAACGAGTTTCTCATCATACAAAAGTATTATATTCATCAGCTGTGCTTTACGACGTGCTAATTCAGGGTGTCGTTTGAGAAATAATCTCAACCACTTCTTCCCCGCGCCTTTTTTGGCATCATTGAAAGTGTTTGGAATTTCCTTAATTTTATAGAATAAAAAAGCCTGTACGCGCTACATCTTTGATGTCAACGGCACTCCAACATCTGCCAAACGTATGATTATTCTGACAAGTCTATCTTGTTGTTCTGTAGTAAATACAGACGACCGACCTAGCTTTCGTGCAGTTGACCTACTCGCTAGATGGTTGCGTAAGGTCCTTCTTCGGATGTTGTATCTAGCTGCAGCAGCATATGTAGATAATCGACCTCTTTCGACCATTTTAATAGCGTTTTCCATCTGTTGCGAAGTCCATTGAGCCCTTTTTGTCCTTGTGGTAGAAGCTGGTAATTCGTTTTCCATGATATTACTAAAAATAAGGGTTTACTATTTTACTGTGATACTTTTCTAACTGATATAAAACATTGTCCTAATAAGATCTGTACCAATGCCGTTTTTTATAGGCTTTATTAAGGCATGGCATATGGATGAACAAAACAACAATTATATGGAATACAACAATATTACAGCTTTTTACTTATGTGAGGAGATGACTACACGTATAATTATCCTATAGACAAAACACAGCACACCGTGTACGAATAAATATGAAAATACTTACATACTGTTTCTATTGCTAGAATTTTGTAAAAACAAGCGTATGTTCCGCGTCGTTGCTGTTTTCGACTTCAGCTTCGAACACGCTCGCGGCACGGGTCATTTGCTGTGCTTGTAGGTGTTAATTTATATACATATATACATACATACATTTATTTATATACACACCTACAAACATTGGCGGCCATTTGAAATCGTGAAGTGGGAAATAAAAAAAAGGCCTTATCAAGACATAGGCCTTATTTGGGTCACCTACCATATTTAATTTTTTTATGTATGAAAGATATAAATAGTTGATTTGAGTTTCCATATATTCAGATTCAGAATTACCCTGTACATCTGTATGGATTCTGAATCTGATAGGGTAAGCTCTAATCTAGTAATTATTATCACATTTCTGTTGTTAATTAATGAAATATTTCTTCAATAATTAGGTTAAGATTTAAATATGATATTGATATACAGTAACGGGAATTATTAATTTCGAAAACATACGCATGTACAAGACGTATCACAATAATCTGAAACTAATCTAAATTAGGAGTTGTCTTGTTGTATGTAAGTTTTATCTATCTTTTTATGACAACAAGAGTTTTGGGTATCGTAAATAAGAGTTATCTCAGATTAAATAATAAATATTAGTTAAAAAAAACTAAAACAACACGCTTGTAATTAATATTTATTTTATATTTTTTAATACAATTTATCAATTACTTTTTTGCGGACATGCACAGGTCACACACTAGCTCTGTCCCTTTCACTCTCATAGAGGATCTATGACTAGAATTTATTAATCCTGGCTCCGATAATGGGAAATTATTGCATTGTCAGTGGTCCTTGAGACATATGCAAAGTTTCAAGTTACTCAGATGTTTAGAAACCTGTGAAAATCGTACTCAAAGATTCCGTTATATATACATGCATAGAGCCCAAGCTAATATAAGCGTGTTAAAAAGACACTGTTACATAATCTTAAAAGTTCTGGTCAAAGAGAAATGAAAATCGTTGAAAATTTTAATTTTTTTAAAAGATGTTGCACTATTTGGTAGTCTCTTAAAGTATGGCTTTACTATTAAGGTTTTTAAGAACATAAGGCGAATATTATTTATATTAATAATCAATACTGTTAAGTTAATGCTAGTAGATGATATATATAAATATATTTTTCGACGTCACTGCAAGATTTACTACTTTGTTATCGGAAAACAAAAGTCAAGCAGTTGAGCAACAAACAACTGTACACTTTTAGACAAACTAAAAATATTTATTGCACCTCCAAGTTAGGTCGTTATTTTAAATTCCATATTTTGAAGAGATTAAAATTTCAGAAAATATTAATTTAGATTTGAAAAGGAGGACCAACTATTGTAAATCATTGAATTTTAAGATAACACACCTTGAACTCCAAGGTTTTAAAGTATCTGTATATTAAACTTGTATTTAATGAAAAATTACTTCTTAAACATGCACATTTTTTTTAAAATTTGTATCACAAAGAGGTTGATATAAAGTATATTGAAACATTAAATACTGTGCTAAGATTTATGCATGCAAACCTTTTCATTAACGTAAATTTTTTTTTAGTAAAAACCGTTTTAATTAGAACATCATACATTAATTGTCTTGCTATGCTCTTTTATAAATTGGCCTAAATTTTATCATACTTTTGAAAGAAAAGCTTTTAAAATAAAAGTATGAAATTCACGTTAAGTTCTCAGTGTATGTAATCCTTAAATTTTTGTGAATTTTATTTTACAGTAATACTTACGATTATGAGGAAAACGAAGATATACCAATTTACATAATACATACATATACAACGTGTAACATTATTAACGCACACCCTGAAAGTAGTTTGTTCAGAATCGGAATCTGGATCGATTTTTATAGTTTTTATGTAGGTCATTCTTTTTCTCAAATTTAGATAGAACTAAGTAAATTACAGTCATCCTACACACAGTTATCTAAACACTTCATTGAAACGAAAATGGATCGTAAGTCAGAGTATTAAGATTTTTAAAATGAATTATTAAATTAGTAATCATCATTCAATTAAAGAAAACTGATACCTGTTTCAAGGCTAAAATACTATTTTACAAATATCTACGCACGCACAGCGACAGTCGGCACACATCAAATACCTACGCACGTGTCCATTGACCTCCTAGATCAGCTGATTTGACGCGACTCGACTTTTTTTTGTGGGGCGAATTAAAACGCTAATTTATAACACAGAGACAACAAGTGTCGAGGAACTAAAAAATAAGATAATAACCGCCTTTGTAAAAGTGAAAATTGACACTGCAGTATTATCTAAAATAAAACCCCAATTGCGAAAACGGCCATTAAAGTGCATTGAACAAGGCGGTGGACATTTTGAAAATGTTTTAAAACGACAACGCCATGCGAGTGCAAATTAAACTGTAAGTTTGTTTATAATCTTTAAATTATTGTTAATATTTTGATTCACACCATTTAAACACGCCGACTTTGTCGTAGGTATTGTGATGTCTAATCAATTCACGCGTTATCAGCTGTTTAATAATTCTTATTTACAAATTTAATTTAACAAATCAGTAATTATAAAATATTGGCTTCACATAAAAAAAAATCAATGTCGACAATCTAAAGCCTGAAAGGTGTGATGGAAAGAAGAATCATAAATCATAATGTATGTAGTTATTTCGTGAACTTATTATTACCTACTACTTATTATTGTCGGACGGCACTCGGAGAGAGGGGCGCGGGCGCGGCGATTACATTGTGTCTGACTGTGTGTGCGTGAATAGCTGACCATATTATTTGCACGAAATTGGGATAACTAATATTTGGTGTATGCATTGCGTTTATATTATTATAATCTAATTGGGGTGTTGATGGTGTGCGTTAATTACGTTACACGTTGTATAATATGTATAAAAGGTATAAACTTTTATACAAACTATTTCTATAACATATTTTACCTTCCCGAACAAAAGGTGTAAGTGTAAGCAAATATAAGTCACATAATGCGAACACGATTGAAGAGAACTGTTATGCAATGTTCTTTGTAGACTTATTTCTTTTCTTTATAAAGAAAAAAATATTTTGGCGGTTGAAGGTAATATCAACAAAATAATAGAAATGATCAACTCCTAATTTCATTATATTATATATCAACAGAAATCTGTCCATCATAGTTACCTAAATCGTTTAAATACAAGATTTAATACAATGGATTAAAAATATATTTGTGTTTTTATAAGTGATTGATCTATATATATAAAAGAAAGTCGTGTTAGCTACTCCACTTATAACTCAAGAACGGCTAAACCAATTTAGCTGAAAATTGGCAGGGAGTTTAGAGCCAGGAAAATGCAATAGGATACTTTTTATCACATTCGACAGCATTCCCGTGGGACTTGACATGAAACGTCAGTCACTATAAAACGTGGAATAACGAAACACAATTGCCAGCTATGCAATTGACGTATAATGACAGACATGTAATGACGTAATGATGATAATTAGATATTTGTAAGAGATCTACTATATAAAAATAGGTCCGGTTTTCCTTCCTGGTGCTATAACTACAGAACGAACGAACCAATTTCCACGGTTTTGCATTCGTTGGAAAGGACTCCGTAAGGTTTATGACAAAAAAATTTAACAGAAAAGCGGGAAAATCTTTTTTCACATAGAGCGCCATCATACATAATATGTACTACAAATCAATATTTTAAGTAGATGGTGCCGGTGCATGATACATTGTTTGACAGCTACTCATTGTTCTCTGCTCAGTTAATTTCATGTGACAAACCGGTATTGTGTTGAACTCTTAAAACCATTTAGTATTTGCGGGATAAATTTAGAAAATCATTGTTTTTCACATGGGTGTTATATTTTGCGTGTTCACGAGTTTAGAAACCATCCGCTTTATTTGTGTTAAAGTTAGACCAAAAAACAATAAATGTGGTTTACAAAGGACCACTTCAATGAAACGGATATTTTGCGGACACGTATAACGCTTCGATTCGGTATCCACTTTGGATTCACTTTCATTTACTTAGAGAAGTTCAACTAAATAACACTTCATTTTTGTAATCGAAATGAATTCATTACTGTTGTGAAATGAAATAAAAATTTTCATTTTCAAATATAAAACAAAAAAAAATCTTCATCTTTTAATCACCGAACGAAATGTTATATAAAAGCCTTCTGGTGGCGAAACGGAGTTCGCCGGGTTTACTAGTATGAAAATAAAGTTTAGTTTTTAGTATAAACAATATTTTTACTAACTGTTAAATTTAAAGCAAGAAATTTCTAACAAGATATCCTATTTTAAAAAAGGAATATAAAGAGAGTCTTATTATTAGGTTAAGATTACACATTGGATTGTATTACCAAAAAAAAAAAACTTAATTGCCACAAGAAAATACTTTTAATTTTATGGCTACATAAAACAATATTACTTCGTTTTGTTACTTTTTTACTGTGAAAATTAAATCAAAAGACACACTCTATTTAATAACGTAAGTAAGAATATAATATCATTGTCATATTGCAGTCCATGGCATTCAGTCTGTTACACTGTATTGTATTACGCTTCTAATGCTACACAGATGACTTGTTTGTTGAATATTTATTCAATTGATTTAACAAACATACATTGTAGGAATATTAGAAGCTTGGACAGGGGCGAACGACGTATAAGGAGTTGTTAGAGTAGATCTGGACTCTTTTTGGTGTGATAGATTAATTGGTGG